TGTTTAAAAGAACCATGGCATCATTTGAAATGTCACTTCTTCATGCACTCATTTATTATGTTAGGTGAGAACTATGCTGAATACTCCTTTCTGGCTCCAGTTACTGAAGCCTCCCCACTTGTCACGACTTTACCTTAGCCAGCATTTCTTTTTTTGACACTGAAGTTGAAGAGATAATCCACGAATCTGAAACCCTTTACATTCTGGTAAGTCAGTGCTAATGGAGAGGTGTAAACACATTTGGACCTATTTCATTTTATATTAAAGTTACTACTCTTCTCTCAGCAATGAAAGATAAATGTGTTTCTATGAATCAGCATTGTGAGAAGTCTCCTGCTTAAAGCCCAACTCCTTGATCACTGCATAAGAACCAGTTAGTTTTTCTCCCTCTGGTCATACACCTCACTGCATTACATTTTTTTAAATTGTTGGTTTTAATACCTATACATTTGATTACATTTGGGTTGTGTAACTACCACTGTTTCTTCCTCTCCAGGTCCAGTTTCCTGGGCTTCATAAACACACATGTACGTATATTGCTGCAATTAGATGCCTACAGTGAGCACAGGCAGCATGATAATGATACCACCACCTGTAGCCTTAAGGAACAGGGGTTTGTTCATGACTTCCTGGGCTCACATGAGGGCGTTCAGTGATGCTGGATGTGATTCAGACAGGAAGTAGCCAGCAGCTAATGATGTACCAGAATTCTGTGACCGTTGCAGCAGTGTGAGGTGGGAAATATTAAACTGGAAGCTATAAAAGTGCTAAAATGAGGGCAAATAGATTCCACACACTAAAAAATAGCTGAAGCTGGTTTGAAGGATGGAGTACAATCACAAAGCTTGGCATAATTTGTTGTTGCAGAAAAGAGAAAGGAACTAGAAATTCCACTGGAAAATCTCCCCACTATCATCCCTGAGAGTTATAGCAATTCAGAGGGCAACTGAACCCATCTACATTCCACCAAACCTGAAATGTAAGGTTTGAATAGACTTATCCTGTAAAAGATCATTGTAACTTAAAATGAAAAACTTTTAGATATTTTAACAACATACAGGTAATATACAGGGGTACAGGTACTCCTAGAATGAGATCCTAATAGGTTGGACTTGATGGACTAATGTCTTTATTCAACCTCAAATACTATGTAACTATGTAACTATGTAACGTATGTAGAGCATAACCAAATACTTAACATAGCATAAATGCCGGATTAGAACAGGTCAACCTGCTGAGTCTTAGCAAACAGGCAGCAGCTCAATTGTCTTCCATCTACATATCTGTAGAGTTTATTTGGTATATAGGAAGATAAGGTGTGTGAAGCTCAGGCAGGTGGGGTGAGGCTGTCTGTTTGCTAAGGCTTAGGTCCAGATCTAAACCAGCATTTATGCTACATGGTAGAGTATGTTCTACACAACAGTTAAACTAGAAATGTAAAGCACAACTTCAGGAACCCCCCTTTTAAAAATTTGGCTTTAAGGGTAATGGGTTAGAACCTATATCAGGATTGTATTGTGGTCTGTGCTATATTGAAGATATCCACCCTTAATTTCCGGGGTCACCTGGGCAGGTTGCAGAATTAAATCACATTTGTTTAGTACTTTGGAGATATGTTAGAACCTCCTATCAAGTTTTTTTTTTATGCCTGTGCCCATATTAAGCAGAATTCCAAAAGTTCCTGTGTGGACACCAAGAAGTGAGGGGAAATATCTCCAAATGGCACACAGACAGTAATAGAAAATATCACAAAGGTAACCCTTCTCACTCTATCATTAACTGGAAAAAAAATGTTTGTTAGGATTGGGTTTTAAGCGTTGAGCGAACACATAGCAGAGCTTACCCACCCTGTCCTTCAGTTTTTACTCCAGACATTGATGTAGTTCATAAGTCTACCCACTGCCTTTTGTCAGTAATCTGTGAACTGAGAACACCTGCTTGTAATGCAGGAGAGCCTTTACCAATTAAACCCACCACAGGTCTGTAGCCGTCTCTCACCTGCAGGAAAGCGTACAATAATAAAAAATGTCAGTACTAAAAACTTTATCACAGCCACTGATCACATTTAACCAAGTCGTGGAAGGTTGACTGTTTTGGTGGTAAAGAAAGCAGATAAAGAAGTTACAGAGCACAGGCTTCAGAAAGTACAGTACCAGTGATTGTGCAAGGAACTCATAAATATGTGATTTAAGTGGATTGTAGAGGACTCAGATGACAGTAAATTGACTTAACTTTGACTTTTCCACAGCTGCAGTTTTTTCTGGATAGTGTTATTAGCTCACTGACTGTTTTTTCTTGTTGCCTCACTTTTTTTTTAGAATGGGTCTTTTTCATCCCTCCAACAGAAAGTTGTAAAATCATTTAATTTTTGTATTAGTATATTGAAATAACAGCACTCCCTTTCAGTTATACCTCTCTTCTTTAGTCATCCCTATATCCTGAAACACAATTGAGTTTACCCAACTTTGGATATAGTAGGGATTGTTTAAGATACCTGCCAGAATATTTCTGCTGTGTGTGCCCCACTGGGGAAATTTCCCTTCACTTTATGTCTTAGAGATTCATTAGATAGTGAGAGGAAATCTCTCCAAAGTCAATAGAAATCCCCTCTTAGACAATTTTTAGCGGAACGGCTTTCTCGATTTGAATATTTCTTTTATATTCCTGATATGGATTTCCCATCATGTTTTGTCACCAGACAATGGTCACCAGAACTAATAAAGAGGGTGAATCTCCCCAGCGAGGGCACAAACAGCAAAATTCTGACAGAGGTTGAAACGCTATTTCAAAAGAAAAAGCTTCAGCTTTAGATATACTTAGCTGCATAGAGTGGGGATCTGTGGACACTGTAAGTAATGATTTAACGTGGCTGTACCAAGAGTTTTTTACATGGGCATATTCATCCAGTGACTGACAGATTCAAGGAAAACAGGGTACATTATCTAATACATTCACTGATAAGGTCTTTTTGTGACTTGATGACAGACTGTCATTAAAATGACTAACAGCCAGTCTGCCACTGTATGTGAACATGGCTTAGAATCTAAGGGGTTTATGTATGAAAAGTGTGCCAGCATTAAAACAATCAGTTGGAATCCTTGTTTCATTTTCAACTCAGCATTGGAGAAATGACAGTTGGAAGTTTATTGGTTGCCATGGGCAACAAGACATTTTCTTTTTAGCATACTTTTAAAAGCTCTAAACTCTCCAGTCCCTTGATCCATACAACACCATTTACTTGTGTTTTTATATTATCCTAAACCAGGGCTCAGCATTCCATATGTGTATTTGATATTGTATCAAACTGCTTTGAAAGTACCAAGTCTGTCTGGTATTTATACTTTCTATAGCAGGTTGCACACGGGTGCAAGTTAGTACTGGAGGTTAAAAAAAAAATCCAGGGATCAAAACATGTTAACCCACATTTCTGTAAGTGGCTAGAGCCTGAAAAGATAATGGAGCTAAAATATTTGTGTACTAGTTGACTCAATGTAGTATTTGGGGCTAACAATAAAATTACTTTGAATTATTTAAATTATAACTTTGGTCCTAATTGGTGCGATATGATTAGAGATTTCAGCAGTCCACATATATACTAGCCAAATGCCAGTTTTTCCAGACTGCCAGTCCAGTATGCCTTGACGTACCCAGTGAATCTACAACCTGCTCCGGTTAAGAAACCAAACATAGGCCGAAGTGTAAATACTGGCTCTGTATAGACAGAAATGCTGGACTTAAGCATAATATTTACCAATAAAGCTGTGTAGCAACAAGACAGGTAATCTACATGTGATTGGTTGTTATCATTTGACACACTCTTAAATGAAGTACAGCTTTGTTGCTGCAAAGACTATTAGGCAATATCATGTAATATAGTAGTTCTGCAATGTAAGCTATAGTCTCAGGCTTTTTTACAGTAGATATTAAAGTGACACTAAACTCAGGAATTAAATCTTAAATGCATTCAAGTAACTTCACAATTAACAAAGATGTATCTTATTTGTGTATCACTCGGCTGTACATCTGCAAATCATCTCTGAATTGGTGCTGACACTGTCCTTCCTTCTAGAGGGTGGCTACTTTTGTACTTTTGCCAAGTCCCCATGGTCCCTGCATGTTTTGTAAAATAGCCACCGCTCCAAGTTCACTCCCGTGATGGACTACTAGTTTGTATTGAAGTTATACATCTGCTTTAAGGGGAAATAACCGTAACTAAAATATCCCAAGTTAATTATAATAAGGGCAACATTACCTTCTTAAAACTGAATGTATACAGTATACATTATCACCTCTATCCTACATATCCTAAAAAGTAAGTAGTTTATTACTTTAAAGATAATCTGAAAGTACAGAAGCATAGGGACTGCCATTATTTACTTGATTTTTACAGAGGTAGACTGTTTGCTTTAACAGCTAGTGAGTTGCTGACCTGGAGCATGCATACAGCAGATTTTGCTGGTTGCATGCCTGTTCCAGGCCAGTAACTCTCTAAATTAGCCAGGATCGGGGTGACAGCCTCAAAGCTTACATCTTTAAAAGCCAAATCTACAATGACAGCTCCCATACTTCCACCCTCATAGGTTCACATTAAGGATTTGTGGGTGCAGACATGTAAAAATACTTTTATGTCTCATAGGACAACTGCGCAATCAGAATTGGTGTAACTAAAAATCCCTCTCTATAGTTGCAGTGAATACAACATTGCCTTGTCAAAACTGAATATATTTGCATATTACCACTTTACTACATGCCCAAAATGTAAGTGGTTTCTCCTTTAAAGATTTCTGAGTGAAGACATATAGATTATAGTTTTACATGCCAATGGTCAATTGTACATTTAGATTTGCTAGTTCAAAGCACCGATTTATCCTAATATTTAATATTAATCCAAATGTATACCACTGTTTGGCACTTTTCAGTGCAAACTATTATATAAATATGGATTAGAAAATAATTATTAATAGAACTGCATTGGTAGAAAATTAAAGCACAACCCTTACCGGTAAAGACAGATCCCTTTCATCCCGGAATTCAGGTAGTGTCTCTAAGCAGAAAATGACTATGGATATGAGGATGACCATAACAGAGATGATAGCAATGATTCGGGCAGCAGATGAACTGTCTGGGTGTTCGAACAAGAGCCAGACTTGCTTCATGAACTCACATTCCGGAAGAAGTCTCTCCTCTTCTTTCTGAAAACCCTCATCTGCCCTAAATTTACTGATCGCCTCATCTCCAAGCTGGTAAAACAGCAACTCCTCCATAAAGACGTCTAGGGGTACATTGGCAGGCCGACGCAGTCGACCTCCTGATTGGTAAAAGTAAAGTATAGAGTCAAAGCAAGGACGATTACGGTCAAAGAAATACTCGTTCCTCAAGGGATCAAAGAAACGCATTCTTCGCCTTGGGTCTCCCAACAAGGTATCGGGAAACCGACTCAGTGTCCTTATCTGGGTCTCGAACCTCAACCCCGAAACGTTGATCACAACTCGCTCACAGCAGTCTTTCTGGCGACAGAGTTCATACTTCTTCTCATCAGGGACCATCATGAGATTGGAGCTTCCAATCACTTCCTCCACGTGCTCCATGACTGAGAGCAAACAGTCCTCAAGGTAGTCTCAACCGCAACAATACATCCATAGTCCCTGAAGTCCTGGCTTTCTATAGTCTTCTTGTTTTAAAGTTTTCACATTCTCTTTTCCATAATTAATTTTTTTTTCTTGTCTTTAGATGCAAGTGACTGTCAAAACTTTCTCTCTTCTCAGCAAGGAGGGATACGTTTGTTGACCATGTTTGATTGACTTTGTCCTAAAGTTTGTCTTTCCAACTTTACAAACTTCTCTTATAAAGTTCCAGTGGATATTCTTTTCATGCAATGAGCTTACACACCAGCCTTCTCTCTCAAGCCTTTCCTGTCTGTTTTGTGATTCTGCTTGTCCTGCTCAAGGGATTACCGTTATGTCACAGTCTCTCTCTTTCTCTCTCTCTGTCTGTATACTTCTTTCCAGACCTTCATACCAATAGCAGTACTTCACTCTGTGCTGTAAACACACACGCTGAGCTCAAGGTATCGAGTTCTCTCAACTGCATAAGCTAACAGTTTCATACAAAATAAAAATACACATCTGAGGCCCCTCCCTTTCAACTCCCCTTCCCTGCTAATGTCCAGGAACCCACTGAAGGCTGTAGGTCAGCCCAGCCCCATAAAGCATCTCTGTGTAGCCACTAAAAATAATATCTTGCTTGCTGGTCTTCTTAGAGCAGATTGCTGATGAGGCGTTAGACTGCTTTCAATATTCCCATGCTGCAAATATTTTAAAATATTTTCCAAGGACATGTTGCTAGTGAAGCAATATATGTCAAATATTATCTAGGAAGGTCATGGTGTGCTACAAACCCAAAATGACATACAGTATTTGTGCATATGGTATCATGTATATCTATAGGAGAAGAGCAGAACTTTTTTTTTTTTAGTTTTTTTATAGAATGATGAGGGGTTAGAACCTTTGTCGTGTTTCTGTTGCTCTAATATAGAGAGATGCACTCTTTCCATTTGTCCTGAAGTCATGAATGACACTTGTTCAGGTACCAGCTGTCTAAAAGGGCACTTTCACTTACTTTGAGAGGTTTCCTCTCACTTCCTGCTCTATCTACATGACAGGAAGTGTATACAAATCTCTCAAAAGAACAGATAATACAAAAAGCCTGACAGGGATAATATGCATTTTCTACTAAGCTTGTTTTATATACATTAATTAACTTGATCAACTAATACTCATTTAAATACCTATCTAAACTATATTAAAGAAAATCACATGTAAAGCAAGGTCACGTGAATGTAGCACAAACTGGTATTCAGTCTCTGTTAGATGCTGGACAAATAAAGTCTCAAATGTTTTTGTAGATCTATATATGCCAATTGAGCAGAGGACAATAACAATTTCATTAAAAGTGCAGAAACACAATTCATTGTGTTTGCAAGTACAGCCTCGGGGTTGCCTTGCCCTACTTCACCAAACTTATGGTCGTGGAGTGCACAATTATAACTTCATACCACGCCCCAGATTCCCCTTCTTGGGACTACAAGTCCCATGATGCCAAGTGCAGCCACATCCAGTCTTCTGGCTTCCAGCTGGCCATTCTGTCCACTCTTGCTACTGCCACTGCACACATCCCCATCCAGTCTTGTCATGTTGGCACAGTCAGTGTCCCTACTTAGGCTTGAAGTCTTTCTTCAGGGAGCATGCAACAAAAGGGTGGCTCCATAGGACCCCACAAGAGAATGAGGTCTCCTGAGAAGAGGAAACCTGGGGCAGTAATCTTTGGACCAGCTCAATTAAGAAAAAAGGAAAGCTTTTAAAGAAGCAGAAGCATCAGAAAAGGCAAGTGTCAAAGTAAATTGCTAAAACTGTTATTAAAATTGAATGTTTCATAACATTCTAAACCACCTCAGGGTTTCCATTTTTTCTGGTGAGATCTCTCTGGTCTGCAGAGCTGCTGCAGCCATTAGATAGGGGCCCTTCTGTACCTGTTGGATTTTTCAGGAGCTTCACTATAATCCCTTGTGTTAATAAAACAGTAACTTTATTAACTTTATTTAGTTAAAGGAGAACTATGAGGTGAGTGCTTTTCACTCACCTCATAGTTCTAGCCGACCTGTGACAATGAGACTGTCACAGGGCGGCTCAGTAGATCGGGAGGTGAGCGAACACATCCCGGGTTCGCTCGCCTCTCGATCCTGTCACGGCTCTCTGCCGTGACAGGGGGAGGGGCTGGATTCCCCTCTCCCCGCTCCGATCTGCCAGCGCTGACTGGCGGAACAGGTGGGGGAGGGGGCGGGTACAGCTGGCTCTGCCTCTTGATAGGCAGAGCCAGCTGTTACTCACGCAGCTGGGCGGATCCTGTCATCTACGTCGTGATCCGCTCCAGCTGCGGTGTCTCAGTATACCGCGAGCTGTAGCTCGCGGTATACTGAGCTTAGGGTAACGGGAGGACGCTAGTTTGTGTCCTCCCGTTACCCTAAGGAGAACTATGGGGAAAAACACTGACCCCATAGTTCTCCTTTAACTTTATTTTCTTTCTTACTGTCAATTAAAAAAGAATATTGATTCAGACACCCACAGGTGCCTATTGTGCATATCTCTTTAATTTTCCAAAAAGCATCAAATACACTAAAGGGCCCGATCACACCTATGAATTTAAATACACATCACTGCACTATGGGTTTTCCTACACTTTAATGAATGATGCTCCTCAGTGCCATCTAGACGCGGTAGTGCCATGTGAATGGCATCTACCCAGCCTATAGCATTATAAGAGTTATAAATCAGCCCCAAATTGTATTGTGAATAGACAAGAGGAAAGGTGGGGCAGACAAACAGCAGTGCAGCTATTGTGTAAGAGAGCCACAGCTCTCCTGTTGCATCACCTAAAGAATAGCAAAATCCATACTACACAGCATGAATGAAAGTGAAAATAGTAACGAACAGCCAGAAATCCTGGAGGGGGCATACACCTCACTACACTTAAATATTTGTTACCCAGCACATTTTAAATAAAATCCTGGAGTTCTTCTTTTTCTTTTCAGTGACATCTAGCAAAAAGGCAAAGTCTTGAAGCCAATTAGAATCTTCCAGCATCACTACAAATGCTTCTTAATTACATTATTTTGGAAATGTTATATATGGAAGAGAAGTTTACTAAACTATATTTCAAGCTCTTCAATCAACTCCCTGAAGAATTTGAGCAGGCCCAAATTTAGGTAATCTTAATCACTGTTTTCATTATATCTGGTGCAAGATGGAATGGTAAGAGAAAAATTTGTGGAAACTTGCATTCCCATGGGGGAGAGCTAAAATCCCATTGCTACAGCCAGTAAAAACCAGAAGCTCCAACTGTGGTAATGCTGACAAACTTTTGTATTTTAATATTTTTAAAGATTAAATATTCTTTCACTTTTGAAAATATATCTTCACCCCTGGTATGGCCTTTCAAAGGAATGATTTTCATAACTTCTTCCTTTACTTCAAGTCACTGAAAGCCATTCTTACTAACATAGCTAATTGTGAATTTTCTGTCACATCAACTGGGTCATCAAGTTAAAGTTCTAACAAAGCTTCTTTCATCATTTCACAATCCTCAGATGGTTTTGTCCTCATTGCTATCAGCTAAGACACGCAATAAGAGGCCAAAGTTGTGGCTATGCTTCTCTCTGCAGGCCCGGTAAACAATTCTTTGCTGTGTGTTAATCAAACGTCTTAATTGTTGCACTTTCTGTTTTCTTAACTTAGGCTTAGGTGGACTTAGACATTATTAGTTTTAAAATTATGTGTTTTGAAGTGTCTCTTAACACCAGCTTTCTTTGCTAAAGTGATGCAAGTTTTGCACGATAAAAACTTGCACTCCCCATTCACTTTAGTAAAAGTATAATTATGTTCCCATTCACTAGACAAGTAAATTTCCGTTCGTTCTGAATTCGGACATTCGGATGCAAATTTCTGAATTTGAACGCTGCCAAATGCGAACGAATCAAAGTGTTAGTTTAATGAAAATTCAGCAGAGATAGGCACAGACCAAGGCTGTGACGGACATTATCCAAAGTACAGACCTTAGTGAAGGACACATTCACTAAGGTACATTTCAAATTAAAACCATCAGAAAACACTCTGTTTAGTCTCTGGCCTAGTTCTACAAGTACAAATAAGTTATATACTATATAGCAGTGATGGCAAACCTTTTTGAGCCCGAGTGCCCAAACTGGATCACTCAACCAACTTATGTGTCTCAAAGTGTCAACCCTGCACCTGAATACTGATTATTTATTTTAGTAAAACACTTCATATGACTGTCTGAACTAATTATATGCTTCAATCTTAGACGAAAAATACAACACAAGAGGTTTTAACAACACTACAGAGTGACATGTACCTTTGTACTGCGCTAATGAGTGAAGTGTTCCATTGCAGTGTACTACTAAGGTGCATGTCACGTAGCACACTTCAAGGGAAAAGCTTATCTACAGCTTGGTGTCAGTGGTGGAGCATCAGGGCCCAGTTGCAGCTGCGACCGCTGTGACCCTGGTAGTTCTGCCACTGACTCCAACCCGTAAAGGAATTAATCTCAGCAATATATTATGTAAGACCGCAGAATCCTCACAACTACCGTATGGAGGGCTACATATCCCAGCAATACATTATACAGCAATGCAAAATACCACCAACTATAGAGTACTAAAAATTAGGGATGCACCGATACCGGTATTTTGGTACAGAGTACGAGTACCAATCATTTTTTTTCGGTACTCGCCGATACCAATTACAGAGTAATGGTATTTTTGCCTAGATTGTTCACTTCCCCTGCCATCTCACTACTCTTCACCCTTTAGTGAATAGACCCCACAGTGTCATTTGCAGATTGAAGTAGTACCTTGTAAACAAATTTGCAGCCTGCATGTGAACACCATAATTGGCTGGCATGGTGAACACAAAATCAGAAACCATTCTTATTGCTTCCTGAACAAGTTTGCAGGTTTCAGAGACTGAGATGTGCACTGTTAGGTGACAGGTGGAACATAGATTAACATTCTCACAG